TCGTCAAGAAATACAGGAACAATTTGAATCAAGATTAAATTTTCAAGCCTAAAACTAGGGACTCTTAAAATAGTAGAATAATGTAGACACTATTTACAGCCTAGTTTGTATATTTTTTAGAAAATTCACTGAAATAGTCACAGAAAAATACGTGACAAAGTAGGACAACGAACTCGAAAAACAATGAAAAACAAGAAACTCAAGAAATGATGTATCCTTAATATGGCAGTTCCAATTAATGCATATGAGTAAAACACCATATTTTTTCAATGGCAGAAAGTAAAGGACTCAGGGAAATTCTTCAGGAAGAAAAAAGAAATGCGCTTGAATTAATTTTAAAACTACCCTACGACAAACGCAATACTCCATTCATTAGTCCAGATTTCAGTGAAATATTCGTAACCATTTTTCTGTAGCGGTTTGTAAAACTATAATCAATAATACAAAGGCTGGAGACACTGTTAATAAATATACACAGTGTTTACTCTAATAAAACAAAGCGTTTCTGACTAGTATAAAACAGAGAATTCAATAACAGTTCTTAAATGGCTTTTACATTTCTGCGATGTTAGAATGGCTTCAAAGAGATTATGTTGGAAGCGAAAAAGAACTTATGAAATATTAAAGGATGGAAATATGAATTTTAAGAATCAACTTAAAAGATAGCTCTACAGCCTTCACATGAGTTTTTTTAATAACTGTGCATAGATTTTGGTGCAGTATACCCAGCTGTTTTTGCTGTAGGCTTTAGTGATTGAACGGCTTCGAAAACAAACTTACCCACCCATTAGCGATGAAAAACTGATAAAAATTTCTCTTTCTCTCGAGAATCAACATAACAATAGTTCTATGACCGGCGCAGGAGATTTTAGTAGATTTGTCCAGATTTGAATAAAATATCCATATCCATTTTTTCTCTAGGCTTGTGAAACAAATATAATGTTATTAATAATATAAAGGACAAATGGATGAATTTTGAATTTTGTTTAACAATCGGAAAATCCACTTTTTTGCTATTATCAATATTTTAGCAGCCTTAGTCATTGAGGTAGAAGATCTTGTGTGTTGTTTCAACAATAAGTCTGCTTTTTAAGATGGTTTTTGTCCGTATGTTCTATTGTAATTATTATGAGATTCCTGGAAGAACCCTATTATGAACGACTATCTTGGTTCATGATAAGTCCTGAGCCATGCGAAGGGAGACAGAAAAATAATAGCTATTTAAGGAACAATCTATGAGAGAGAGCATTATTATCGACGTATAAGAGACAGTAAACGTCACAGTAAGTGAATAGAAAACGAATAAGTTTAGATGTTTAATAAATGTATAAATTAAAGGACTTTTATGAACATGTTTATAAATATCTATAAACACACGGCCACACATGTTCTTTATTTGTATAAATACGAGTTTCTAGTCATTTTAACAGCATAGATATTTATTTCAAAATATAGTGTACTTGGTTTCGATACCCATCGTGGGCAGAGCACAGATAGTCCATTGTGTAGTTTCAAGCTTAACTACAAACAAAGAAAATAGAGAAATTATTTCAAGAAAAATGTTTCTTTTCTAAATTAATGTTTAAGACCAAGATTAAACATTTATTTTTCCATTATTAACATAGCAATCTCATTTTTTGAAAATGTTTGGAAAGATAAAATTTTGAAATCCGGGTATTCACTGTGTTTGAGTAAATTGGCTACAATATGGCGAATTGCACGAACTTTGCGTTTAAATGGGAAACAATTGTCTCAATCTATGAAAAATTACAGCTTATGTGGGGAAATATCTGGCTTTGAATATTTCCCGTGCTAATTCATTTTATTTAAGAGCAAAAAAAAAAGGACATAAACTAGTTTCGAGGGGAAACTTTGGCTTGATTTTATTTTAAGCAAACGAGAGACACGGTATCTATAACATGTTTGAGAGTAATTTGGTAATAGAATAATGTAGAGGTTAGCTTCTCCATTGCAGGTTATCCCATTTCTACGTATTCAATATTCACGTTAAATGAAAACAAGATATTGTACTTCCCTGTTTCTATTTAACATGACCTCATCTACTTATTTACGAAAAATTAACTTGTTGCCTTAATGTCCGTGAGCGTCTCGTGTATCTATGTAACATGTGTCGATGTTAAGCTTAATAGTGGGGCACAATGTTTGTGTTGCCCTTTAAAACTGAAATATAGAAATAAAAACATTATTTTATTTTAAAGTTATTAATGAAGGTAATTACTTCTTTCCAACTGCGACTTGACTATATGTTATACAGACAGAGATTACTTTCAAATGTTTAGTAACTCTAATACAAAGTAAGCTAACTACGTTAGCTCCCAAGTTGATTTATTGATCTTATAGGTAGCATGGATCAACTTATTTATGGATGACACGGTATTTTTACAACCTTTGATTTTAGTTTATAAAATAGTTTAAAAACATTGTTTATTCACATGTCAATAAATAGATAAACACAGAGTAAGACAATATGATAACCAATTTACCATGCCGTCTTTATACATCTTGTCTAAGAAGCTGATTTTATTTTCAGTTGACATTTTTTCTTTGGTGCTTACACTATATATATTCACACAAATAATTAACAACATTAGCGCTATGACCTTGCTAAGATCTAAAACAAATTAGGTTGGGAAACAACGTCACATTTTCTTTTATAAGTACACTAGATTTAATAGGGGATCTTAATTTCACATGTTCTTACGCTTGTTTTATCAAATTTCTATTACTAGAGCCGATATAGCCTTGCTGACAGCAAGGACAGGAAAATTTGTAAACAACAAAAGATGACTGTAAAGAAGAAATTTGGTCCTTAAATCAAAAGAAGAACTTTAGTCAACAGTTAGATTTAAACACACATCACAACAGTATTTTTAGATACTCTCTTTTGATAAAATTCTTTAACTGACATCATAGTTCCTTAAAGTGGCACCAGAGGACGTGTTGCTAGGGCAGGAGTGACATCAATATTCCACGAAGTGGCATCAGAGGGCGTGTTACTAGGGGAATGGTAACTTCATAGTTTCATGAAGTGAAACCAGAGGTTTCCAAAGACAGTATCCGTAAAATGATAAGGTCATCGAACTGCATACAGATCTCAATATCTCTCAACTTATGTTTAATTAAACCTTCTGAGTATACCCAATTAAATATACTTTTTCTTATGTTCTTCTTTATAAATATTTGAATGCACTTTGTCATCAGTTGGATACTCTCACTGTTGATGAAATTTTGGGCCGAATGATGCAAAAGAATAGATGTAGTTTCAATCTTTTTTTAGAGGATTAATTCGTTCTCTTTTCCTAAAAGTGCCATTAACATCTACTGAGCCACCAGATCATACAAAAAGTATCTAAGTCATTTATCTCTAATTTGCCCATTAAGAAATTTAAAAACTGGTGCTACAGGATTCCCCCTACAAATTATCCGTGGATTTAATACAAAACCTTTTTATATGTGTGTGGATACAGAATATTAGTATAATTTGAGCATAGTTCATAAAAGTGTACTTATCTTTTTCTTTGATTTCGAGGAACATTTCAGGTAATAGCCTATTTTAAAATACTTTACTGACAAATTTATCAAATGAGCCTGACAACACATTGAAGAAATTCACAACTCATCATGAATAGTAAAATGAAAAAAAATAGAAACCAAACTATCTTCTTTTGTTATTGATGCGTCATCATACGACAAATTAAAAATTAGATTTTCCTTTATTGAAGTTCCAATAAATGACGTAAATTGAAAGAATATATCTTGAGGAGAAGGAACAACTTTCTTTACGAATTTCATGAGTGTCGATGGAGCCTGAAAGATTTTTAGTGAACAAGTCATATTTTTCTAAAACTATCTTAATCTAAAAACATATGGCTATATTTTCAATATAAGGGTGAAAATTTAAAGGTTATGGTCAGAAGATCTTTGATAAATTGAATTTAGAGATGACAACTTTCTGTGATGTTATTGAAGATCTATGAAAGTGTATTAAAACGTAATCTCCAAAAATAAACCTTCCAGCAATTTGTTCACTATAAATCAGCTTCACTTACGGGTATGCCGTTTGTCACTAAAGTCTAAGAAATTTGGTTGTTTTAACTAAAGAAACCTATAATAATGGAATGTTGAAAGTTTTGTATATGTCAAACATATTTGACCAAGTCTTGTGCAAATTATAGGTTTTGTAATTAAACACGCTGTTGGATGGTAATCACATAACGATGATTTATTTTTTTTAATTATTCAGAATTCCATGACTAGTGTTACTTTATAGGTTTACAGGAATTAAAGCATGTGAATATCCCATCGCAATTTATTACAAATCAGATACAGTAAATAGAAACTCAGAAAACGATTATGGAGAATTTAATAAAGAAAATATCTTTACGATGGACACGCAGTTCTGTTTCTTATTTTTAAATTTGAAAATATGTGCTTCTATATTTGAAATAACTTCATTAAGGAATATTTTTTTCGCAAAACAAGTTATTTGCATTTATCTTGTTAACGTTGTTATAATTAGAGAGAAGCGTAGCGTATCGTACACAAAGAGAATCATATTGAGTATAACACTTCACATCTATAATTAGGAAACGTTATTGCTAAAGCCTTTAGTAGGAAGCAAACATTTACAGTTTCACCTTTGTTGCATAACCGATGATTCGCTTTTTCCAAGCTATTATATCATCAGAACAATGTACTTAATTCTTAGTTTCTAATTTAGTTTACAACCCATGTGATAACAGATCTGGCTTTAAGTATTTTCCTTGTAGAAAGAACGATTTTTCTTTGTTTTTATTTTCGTTACACCAAAATATGTTGAAATACGTAACTTCCACTTTACGCAATATGTTTTGAAAATGAATGATTGTTTTTTTTTCTCTTACATATCATTATACATTTTCCACTAATAAAGGCATCAATTGAACAATTAACTCTTTGGAAATGGGAGCTTTTTTTTTCAATGATATATATATATAAATAAAGCAAGTCTTTGTTAGGATCAATAAGATCGTATGTAACTGACAGAGAATAACCAGTAATTCAGTAAGAGAAAATCTTTGATTAATAATAATTTTTATGTAAACCGATATTCCTCAATTGAGTATTTCAAGGTGAGAACTCATAACATACATCTAAAAGTAAACTAATTAAATATAACTAATAGGACTCTCAGGATGAATGACAACGGTAGATTTGTATACGGGGTTCAAATATATTTTAGAATTACGTAACTATTAACCACTTTCTCAAAACGTCCTACCAAGCAATAAGTATTTACATATTAAGCTATTTTTCTATATTTAGTCGTAACTGCTTAAAGCAATACAGCTATGCTTACTAAAGCCATTAAGCATTTTTGTAGCTCTTTTATACCTTAAATGGAATATATTTTGTTTCACTTTGAAATGTGTTTAGCTTTTCACGATGAACAAGTGGATCATCTTAGCAGTAATGTTAATCACAGTAGTCTTGACTACAGCTCAGGATGCCGACAAAGATGACGCTGAGGAAGGAGATCGAGGCCACTGTTTGTTCTACATGCAACCAGTGAGTTTTCGTTTTTGTTTCATTAAAATTCTTTTATATACATTTCCCCTTTAGGCCTAGTGTAAACAGCTTGTTTTACCTATGTCTTGTCTTTGTTTCTCAGGCTACTTACACTGCACAAAAGAATTAATTATAGTATAATCAGAATTTGTAATATTGAAGCTACGAGAAGGCAAAATGCACTGTTATATATTTAAGTCAGTTACACCCATAGTCCATTTCTTAATGATTCCATGTTAGATCTTGTTGTACCTTTTTTACATGTTTTCCAGTCATTTCAATTTTCTCCCGTCATTCCCGTGAATGAAACGACATAAATGTCATACCTGATGAGAGAACATTTGGTAATATATTATAAATTCCAATTCTTATTTAGTTATTTAGTGTAGAGTATCTACAGCTATTTTTCTGAAGTAGCGTAAGTTAAATACAAAAAATTATAAAAGTTAGTATTTACGTTAGCATCATTCTTTCCTTCATTTTTTAAAACCTAAATTATGTTTTATTTAGATTATTTTTCTTTCATTGAGACATAAAGTATACCGCTCATGAATCTTTCCAGTGTCGTTGTTGTCGTGGTCTTACCTGTCGCAGAGGGAGATGTGTACGTATAAACGGATAATATATTATGAAAGAGATGAATTTCTTCAGGTAAAGCGAGGAAAACACATATTGATTTTATTGAATTGAATTTCAACCGATTTCATTATTGTAATCATTCGAAAATATATTTTATGGAATAATAAATTCAAGAATATTTATTTTAGGAAAACTTCATTTGAATGTTTCATTCTTGTCCGTGGGTTGAATGGAAGGCAGCCAGTCACAATAAACTGACAGATTTTCCAGAACAGTCTCACAGTTTTCTCAACAACATTTTCATATCAATGGTATTACTGCTGAGACAATACAGATCATACTTCACAATACAAGAATGAAACTAGTCCCTAGGGGGATGAGCGGTAAGTTCACAGACTTACAACACTAAATCCAGGATTCGATTCCCGAAGTAGACAAAGCGCAGATCACTCACTCTGTACCTTTGTTATAAAAAACAACAACGAAGAATGAAACTGCTAATTGTCAATTGTGGCTCATTGCAATCTGTCCAGAGACGGAACTGAAAAAGTGCTGAGATGACATTGAGTGCACATCTAGTGTAGAAATGCTAATAAACAGTTTCACAAAGCCATCATCACACCATAGATCTAATGAAAAGTATCACTGTCATAGCAAAGCAACACACAGTTTTCCTATATCAATGTCAAATTGTATCTAGTAAACTAACTTCGTGTGAAGCAATAGTATTCCAGTAAATGAGTCACACTTATTCTTTCAGTCAGATAACAGTATTTTGGAGATGACCTGTAACCAGATCTAACCACTTCACATATAGGAATGTCATGAATATTGTAATAAAGATAGGGTAATGGAAGGAATAAGTATTAGCAGAAGAACTTAACTACAACCTTCGACTTTTTATGTTGGTGTAATTATAATTTATTTCATCAGTACTTTTCTATGACATATTTACATGTCGACGTGATAAATGGACTTGTTGATATCATACGCTACTATATTATGTGCACTATACTGCAGTTCTGGTTAAGTTTGCTAGTTTAGTAAATTACAGGTTAAATTGTAAATTCACATACGACTTGTTATGAGAGACTAACGTTTTATCATATTCTAATTTAAGATATCAGAAGTATAACACACAAACACAGGTGTACTATATCATATAAAATACTATTTTGTTTTTAAAGTATCCATGAGAGGTCTAACTAGAATTTCCACGATAAAAGTGTTACAGCATCATTGAAATAATTACAAGGGAAAATTACCAAAACGTTACCAGGAGTAGAGTCAAAGCTGGTTATGGTATTTTATCTTTGTATTATAACAGAAAGTGTACATAATGCAGTGCTAATGTTTCTCTTGTTCCTAATCAAAATTTAACACCACAACTGAGAAATTACTACCAGTTAAATGTGTAACGTAACGAGAAAATCTTTACTCTGTTATTACAGTATAATTTTATAAGATACATTTATATTTTCTCTACATTAATATGTATTGATAGGATTGTGGTAGCGATTAACAGAATATTATTAGGTGAATTCCGTACACATTATTTTTATGTTTTAGAAATATTCTTTACAGAGTATATTATTGTAGCAATCTCATACTGTTAAGCTATGTAGAGAAACAGTTTTGCAATCCTTGTGTTTCTTCTTGTTAGGTAGATTCCCCACAACATTGCAAATAAGTTGGACATTTCGTTAAAATGAGAAAATTAGTGTTTTAACTTACAGCACCACGATCAACTCTAATCATAAGTGAAATTAATTTAGAAAAGAAAACTATCTATGTTTCATAATGCTGACATTTACTTCTTATTTGGTGTTTACCCTAATATCAAGTAAAAGGTGCCATGCTTTCGTCCTTGCACACTCATACATTAAAAACAGAAGCGTTTGGAAATATCTGATTTCTGTTTTGGACAACTTGTTTTAAGTAGGGGAAATAATTACTGGTTTAATAAGAATTAGTATAGATTTCGACATTTCTCAATCAGTTGGGAAATATAACAATATTGCCAAG